AGAAGAAGAAGAAGAAGGAGAAGAAGAAAAAGAGATAGAAAGAGGAAAGATCCCTGAAGAAAGCCCACAAAAGAAAGATCAATCAACAGATCTAACAAACCTCGATGACCCCGAAGATTTAGTCGATCAAAATATACAAAATGTGGAAGAAAAGAAAAACTCTGCAGGTTTGTGTGATGTAGAAGAAAATCACCATGGGCTTGCCTTACCCATTCAGGCTGTGGCGTCACAACAAGACGCGAAGACCGAAGACAATAACGAGGAACAGATAGAGAAAGATGTGTCACAAGACACGACAGATGTCACCCCAAAGGATGAACCACTAGATTTAGAAGACCAAAAAAAAATCGCAAAGTCATGTTCAACTAGTGAAGACAAATATGATGATGGTACATGTTGCAGTGGAGAACAGCAAGAGGGCGTTGGCGGCTTCCCGGATAAGTCGCCCAGCCATGCTGTCGTTTCTATCGAAATGAAAACCTACTTAAGAAATAAGGTATTGACGAATGAAGATCGAGAAAAATCTTCAAGTCGTGATTCCTTACAAAGTACATGTACTCTCCAATCAACGCTTCCTGATGGTAGCAGCAGCGTGCTGGCTCGAGGCGAACATATGCACGAGATATCATCCTCTAGGGACACCCTCAATAGCCAATTTGAATCAATGGAATACTTAACGAAAAGAAGAAAAATATATGTGAAGAATAGGAAAGCCGCGCGCACCATCTGCATCATTGTGAGCGCTTTTCTAGTTTGTTGGATGCCATACAATACGTTTAGCATAGTAATGAATATCTGCCAGAAAAGATGCTACGCTCCATTAGTGTTTCAAGTCTCGCAGATTCTCTTATACTTTGGATATCTAAACTCGATTCTTAATCCTATAATATTTAGCTATCAAAACGTCCAATTTAGGAAAGCATACCGGATGATACTAAGAAAAGTCTTCCCGTGTCTGAAAATCAGCGTCAATTAGGATGATTTAAGCTGTGTGTGTCTAGATCTATCACCGGCAAAGCAAGTGGTAGAAAACGTGTTTTCCCTATTACGATGAACTGATAAGATTTGAATTAAAAGTTGAAAGGATTTTTCTAAAAGTTAATTTACGTAGTCAAATTATGTTAGCCTTTCTAACTAAACCGCTAAATGATGACGTTAGAGTTTGTCTGTTTTTTATTCAGGCTCCTATAGATGGCTTGCGGCCGGATAATTGATGATTTCTTTTCAAATTAATCAACTTATGGTACTATAACTCCCATAAAAACATGTTTTTAGATCAGTTGAAAGCTGTTTATTGATATGACGTTAGGTTAGAATATGAGCTTAGAGCTAGGGACATAGACAGGTTAATTTTTTGCTATTTTTTTTTTGACGTATATAGGCATGTGTTAGCCACAACTTGAAAGGCATTGCTTCATCTGGAACGCGCGCAACGCGGTTATAGTGAAACGTGCTCAATGTAGAATATGTTGTATGCCGGGAAAATTCTGTAGCAGTTTTATTCCGCAAGTTATTAGTTAGTCAGTACTAATACAAGATACTAAACAAAAGACTACTGACTGGTTAGGTAGTGAGTGTAACACGTGGTCGTTTTAATACCAAAACAATGACTTTTACTTTACAACTGTAACCATGAATAACGAAAAAGGCTTTTATACACTCGCCTCTTACCTCTTGGGTACCCGGCCCCCACACCTGACTCCGGCGATTTCTGGCATCGACATGTAAATAAGTCTGATAATTTGTTAGATCTTCTCCTTGATTCGAGGGTTTTTCTCCGGGTTCTCAGGTTTTCCTCTCACCGCCAGACCTTACAAGCTTATAATTTAGCCGTGCCCTGACTTTGTTCAGCGCAGAGGTATTCAGGGTCGATAAGATTTCAAACAACTTTTAATAAATGTTAATAAAAAATAATAAAAAATGTCTATTAAGGTTATTAAACAGATAAAAACATGAGTCTTTTTTTTTTCCAATCTGGAAAAGTTTTTAACGACTGAAATTGTTTAGCACCTTACATATTAAGCACGTAGTCTGATAAATAGACCGTTTGCCAAAATGGCGGTTGCAAAGAATTCGAATGAGTTCAAACTAAACTGTAAAAAACCAATACCAGCACTAGAAAGAACACCTTTACTTTAGTAACCCTACGAAGATTCATTATGTCAGGTGTTATATCGGTCGAAATAACTTTAGTTTTAAGATTGACAAATTTATAGACGTTTATGGTCTCGGGGTATAGCGGTAAAGGTCCTTTTTCTAGTGCTGGTTTTAACTCACTTTCATTTTGGCCGCAATTGTTTGTATCCTAAGTGATGATAGCATTATTTTAATATCATGATACAATTGAAAAAAATAAGATATATTTTACGCCGATCTATCTTATACGGTAACGACTGGCTCCAGCACAAATAATGACAAACGTTCTCAGAAAGGGAATTCTTACCACACACTTATTCACGTAGCTCATACTGATTAAATATTGATAAATAAAAGTTACAAGTTGAAAAATGATATATTTAGGGTTAAGACATTTTGAAATCGGAAGTATTAATTAAACAACTTAAATAAGGGTTGCCCGTCAGTAAAACATATCATTAATGTGACATAACTAGGAAATGTTTGTTTTATTTCTAATAAATCAAGTAGTATGACGTCAAAAAGCGAAAAAAGGGACATTTGTTTTAATATTAGTTGACGTAAAGTAGTTATCTTAATTCAAACTCATGTGAAATCACGTTTTTGACTTTTTTTCCCGATAATATTTTGAAATATAGCTAGGCCATGTTTACTCGGGGTGGGGGGGGGGGGGGGGGACTTTGAGTATGTCGTCGCATACCATTATAAAAGGCCGTATAGAAAACCCGAAGACCGAACATGTACTAGGTGTGAGCTTGGGGAAATAGAGGACGAGCGACACTTCCTGCTGAAATGTCCGCGCTATTCATCATATATAATAGGATCTTGATTAATAAGATTTTGATTGAATGTATTTTTGTGGCCTTTGAAATATATAAAATGTAGAAAAATGTAAAATTTAGTACTCATGTATGGTACAGAAATATGATTACAGTACCAGATATTTTTACTGTAATAAACACAATGCTATTTCGATGACGTAAACTTTTTTGGTCGAAAATTTTGGTAAAAAGGCTAGCTATAGTTATCTACATGAGTTAAATATGTAACATATCTTAATATGCCAAAGTTAAGATATCTGCAGTAATATATCTACTTATTGGCTCTAGTTTTGGTAAGGTTTTCAAAATTTCGTTCCTGCTAGAAATAGGCCGTTTGTATGATGGCGTCATTTTACTACCATGACCCGATGCTTCGCGAATTTTCTTTCTTAAATTTTGGTGCCAATTCCTCTTTGCCAAATAGGTTACTTGCATTATAACGTCATTTACTACCACTACCACACTCCCTCGTAAACTTTATTTTTTTTCAATAAGTTACTGAAAAAAATAAAAGTTTACGTACGAGGGAGTCTGGTAGTGGTAGTAAATCACGCAAGTGACCTAAACTATTTGGCAAAGAGGACGTAACGTTGTTTTCACGATTCATGGAAAAGACACAATCAAGGTTACGGTCTAATTGATGATATCTCATTTCACGAAAAGAAAAATGCGGAAAATCATGTTTTCTTTACTTTTATAGTAAGGGCTTGAAATCATGATAAAGAATACCCTAAAATTTCACCGGAAAAATATTCACGTATTTACCACAAATACTCTCATTTAGAGTTGGGCTTTGCTCAGTCTTAGCCTTATTGTGTACAAATGTGTTCTTTTCTTTTATTAAGGTCCATTGTATAGTAAGGAATGTATTTTCTGCGAACAATACGAGTTGATTAAAATGCCACGGGTTTTGGTTGAATAGCTGAATATTTTAACGCACAACCGAGACTAAGGCTGAGAAAAGAGAACTCG